GCAATTGCTCTCTGTTGTCGAGTCTCGCTGCTTGTTGCATCCCGGCAGCATGCACAACTTTTGCTTCTCCTTCAACTCGCTCTTGTCGACATAGAAGACCTGCCCATCAAAGAGCTCTTCCGCCGCCTTCTCATATTCCAGGTGCTCCTGCTCCTTGGCCTCCGCACTGACCTTCTTTGCCGCCACAACGTTGAGGTCGTACTTGAGGGCGTGCGCTCCACGGGCCAAAGTGTGTGCGAGAGCATCTTTTGCAGAAGGCTTGGTGAGTCCGTCGGCAAGTTGTTGAAGGGAGTAGACCCACCTGAACTGACCAAGCGCTGCCCTCATGTGCTCCCTCAAAATACTAATCTCAATGGCTGTGCGGCGCTCTGACAGCTTCAATCCCGGGGTCACTGAACTTGCACTGTCATACAGTGCCTTCGGGTCGGTGATCACCGGAGACTGCATGAACATGTGCATGGTCTCATCCAGCTGAATCGGGACGTACGGGTTCACCATGGAAGCGAAGAACACTTTTGCCAATTCCAACTCGTCCACAGCGATCGTTTGCGATTGCGCTTCCGCAGCGAGTGAGCTCCGGCACATGCAAACCAGCTTCTTGCTCGACCAGTCGATCACCGTGAGAGGGAACGGTGTCTCTCTTTGCACTTCATCCTGGTTACTGGTTGGCCAAGAACATGAGCATGCCACCCTGGGAGCTGCCGTCTGGTCGTACGGACCATGCTGCGTCGCAGTAAACTCCAATCCGCAAGCTCTCCAACTCTCCGTGACAACGGATAGTGAAGGTATAATCTTTGACCACTTCCTTCATGAACCTCAAGCACTTGTTCGCATCAAGCATGTCCTTCACTGTCGGCCTGCTGATGTTGGCCTGGAGAATGCTGATTGTAGCGGCAGCTTGCGGGAGGCATTGCGTCACTGGCCATGACATAGCGCCGACCAAAGCCCTGAGCAACCGGTGCTCCTTGTCCGCGCAGTAGTCGTCCTGCATGTTCTTTCTCACCTTCTCCATACTCAGGGGCTTGATCTTGTTCACATATTCCTTCAATGAGACACTGATCGCCTCCATGTCGGGACTTTGATGAACTTCAGCCCCACAAAGCCTCATCTCGTCTCCGAAGTCCCACGACCTGAACCGAAACATCTCAAAAAGTAGGTTCACCCGGTTTTGGAAGTTCTCACATGCTCCAGCTGCATCAAACTTCACCTCGTTGACACTGTAGATGCCCTCACCGGCACCCAAGAAGTCATCAACGTGCAGCCCAAGAGCTCCGTCCACAATCCAATAGCCACCCTTGTTCTCAAAGATCAGGAAGCTGGGATCCTCTTGAACAGCTGGCCTCAAGGACAAGTACAGGCACCGATCCAAAGGATGATTGATCAGCCCGAGCTCATTGACCAAGTAGTCATTGGCCGTCTCATTCCACTGGCGTGGCGCTCGAACATCTCCAAACGCGGGCTTTGTTGCCTTGAGGATCTCATGACTCTTCAATCCCATCAGTCTCTCCAGTCGCCTCCTCATCTGAGCAGGGGGCTTCACATAGATGCGGGTGGTGTCGTCGATGGAGTTTGCCTGCATAAATGCAGACTTGACATCTGCACACCAGACCTTCCATTTTCGATGAACAGCCCACACCATCAGCGTGATGCGTCCAAGTCGGCTCAAAGTGGGTGACTCCTTCACCAGGTTCTCATTCAAGAAGTCCTTGTGACGAAAGCCTTGGAGGATGACCCTGGCATTTGCTTTGTGCCCATCAGCCGTTGGCTTCCATCGTTGAAGGAATTTGGCAGGCACCACCTCGCCCTCTTTGGCTTCCTCTTCAGGAACAGCTTTCCAGGCGGCATTCTCGATCCACACCTTCAGAGCCGAGTCCTTGGCTTCGTCGAACTCCTTACGTTGGTCAGGAGTCAGCTTCTTCTAATTGAAGTGCTTTGCCATCAACATCTCGTCATCGTCCAGGGGTTCCAGCGCGTCCATGTACCTCTGGAAGATGGGATCTGTATGCTGCACTGGAGGCAATCCATCCAGCTGGCGAGACAAGTTGTAGGAGCTCAGTGCCACAGATCGTTCGTCACGGCTGCGTGACATTCCTCGAGATGGCTGCAATGGTCGATCTGATGTCTCCTCAGTGCGCTTCTCTGCTTTGGATGGCCTCGCATCATCATCTCCGTTGGTGACACCAAAACCATCTATCTTAATTTTGGGTTAGAAAGAGTAGTCTAGGTCTAGGGTTAGACAAGCAGGTTGCGGGGTTAGAAATGCAAGTTTCAGGGAGGGTTAAGCAGATTTCAGGTTGATAAAAGGTTAGGGTTAGAAAAACATGTTTTAGGCTTTAGGGTTAAAAAAGCGCTGCCCCGCAGGTGGACTGAGTATGAGTTATGAAGATGATGGACAGGTGACCGGCCAGATCAGGAAGACCACCGTTCAGGCAGCGCCCGAAAGGCCAGATGCCAGCAAGTATCCCTCGCTAAAGCGAGAACCGACCAACTTTGGCTTCATGACGCTGAAGTCCGACAAGAACAGGGGCAAAGCGGACTGTGCCAAGTGCAATTATACCTGGCCATATGGCAAGGATGGCAAGGGGCAAGCCGGGTGCCCTGATGATGGATGCTTGGCAGGTTGTCCACCGTCTATTGCGAATGACCCCTGTGGCCAGCATGCCTGCCGGGTCTACTATGCTTACCTCTATGCGCATGGCGCAAGCTATTGCAGTTGGCTCAAGGACCAGAAGGCCCAGGCCTATTGCTGGGCAATGGATGAGTGGGTCTGCAACACCACCTCCTGCGGCTACGGAGGCCCCAACCAACCGAAGAACTGCCAAGCGCTGCCCGAGTTCAAGAGCAACGTTTGGGGAAAGGAAGGTAAGGCCGCATGGAGCAATTCCTACTCCTGCGGACACACAGCCAAATATCAGTATCCGACCACCCCAACCAATGGCTCGGGCGAACATTGGTGGGAGAATGCTACGACCCAGGGCTGTGAGGACAAAACCGTGGACGGCCAGCCCACGAACCCGCAGCCCTTGCGCAGCGGTGGCACATTCACGATCACCTTCATCAAGCTTGATTGGCTCCACACTCCACAAGTGAGTTTTCTTCATGATTAGGGCCGTTCTTGTTTTGTAGAACCTTGGCTGTGCAAAAGCCGCAGCCATTCTTCAATTTTGAACTACTCCAAAAAAAGAGGTCATGATGCCCTGTCAATGCCTAGCGGCTATATGCTTGGCACGACTGCTATATGCTTGGCACGACTGCGAAGCCATGACCACGAAGCAGCCTGTCAACAGCAAAGCCGAGGCCGAACAAGGGCACGGCAGCCAAGGCCGGTTCGCCCTTGATGGGGGTCTTCGAGTTGAGAAAAGCTGAGTTTTCGGGAACAAACGAAAAGGCCATGACTGCAGTTTTGTTGTGCAGCCGTAGATAGTTATTCTTCCCAATACAGAGTTTCGTTGCTTCCTCTCGTTGGAGACTGAAGAGGTCTCGTTGGCCAGGTCGAAGAAGAAGATAGCCGACAGAAGACGTCGAAGACGCGGGCTAGCGCTGAAGTTCACAGCAGTGCCTCCCCCAAAGCATCCACATGCCCTACAACCTACTTGGACCCTCCCTTCACTGCTTTACAGGGACATCAACACAGTGCCAAGATACTTCTCGCAGTGTAACAAGACACAAAGTGGGTTTCACAGGCTCCTAGTCTAGTGAAACAATTTGAGAATGCGCCAGGAAGCTGAAAGAAGTGTTTCTTGCGCGGTGGAGTGTGCCTTGTTGAAGCTGCACGATGATTCATTTGAACTGTAAACCTATGAAACTTTGATTCCTTGTTGAGTTTTTGCCTAGACCAGGTTTAATTATGTTCCAAGATTTTGAAAACAATACTTTATAAATGATAAACAACAGTTGCGAACATGTTTGGGAACAAAAGGGTTATGGAAGGACATTTGCGTGAGACACATGTTCAGAATAAAAGCCGGCCCTACCCAGAAGACGAACCAACAAGGACTCGTTGCCGCTTGCTGTTGCCGCTTCGGTTCTCAGTTGGTGGCCCGACTGGGTAGTTCGTCCGCCACAAGACATGGTCCGCAGGAAGCTTAATCTTGGTGAGTCCTGATGGATGCTTTCGGATTCTCATTTTTCTCGAACGATCTGTGGTCACTCGACTATTTTCAGCACGTCTGTTTTTACCGTTTTATAGAGCGTGGCAGTTTCATTAGAATCATTAGAATTGAAAGAGAGTTGAATCAACCATTGCTTCTTCAGAAAACCAGCCTGACACCTGTTGTTGATGTTTTTCCACAATGCGCAGAGACGAAGGGGCATCCCTACTACCAACACATACCGCCTTCACCTTGCAGGATCAGAAAAAGGCAAGGCCTTGTTCTCGCAGGATTGCCAGGAATGGATGTCCGAAGGAAAAAGTGACCCAAGAACGAAGGAGATTGGTGTTGCCGTTGCGGACTTCCGCGATTTCATGTTTCCCCTTCCAAAGAAAACTTGCACAAAGGCTCCAATGACCAAGGGCAGTGGCCGAGATCTGTGATTCACTTGATTCTGGGTGAATTGGATTTGGAGAGTTTCAGAATCATTCACACTCAGAAGCGCCTACGCAACTGCTTGGGCTTCTGAGGCCTGCACGCAGATGGCCTCTGGAAGTCGCTTGGTTGCACGAGAGGTTCCATTAGATGCAAAACTGGGTGGTGCCCATATCACTTGCCCCCGGCGCTTTTTCACGACAAAGTTTTTGTTTTCAACAGTGTGGAATGGGCTCGTGTTTCCGCTTGATAATTTCGAGCCTGTTTCGGATGTTCATCATGTCTGGTGAACTGCAGGGGAAGACTGAATTCTTGCTGCACCTGAAGTGCTAAGGAACAGTGCAAAGTTCCAAATAGATTTTCGCAATTCCTTAAACTTCCAGAGTCAGAGTTTGATCCTCATAGAACTCCAACCTGAGAGCTTCCCTGCGTCACTATACTTGTTGCATTTCTGTCTTCCAGCCTGCACCCGAGGTGTTCCTTCTGACGCCCTTCCTGAGGGAACCGGTCCAACGACCGACGGCCCGAAGGAAGCTGAGGCTCAAGCTGATGGCAGGCTGCTGGCCGGTCGGGCGATCGGGTGGGTGCGGCAGTGCAGTTGGTGGGTCGGCTCAAGCTGCTCGGTTGGTTTCTGGGTCCCCCAGGATCTTAATAAGATTGATGGACATGCAATGGTAGTAAAGGCGCGGTTCGAGCAAGAGATCCAGACGTGAAAAATAGCCCAGAACGGTTCGGGCTATGGTTGTGGGTCAATTCGAGACTGCTAGATTGCAGAGGTAGCTCTGCAGTGGGTTTGGCAAGTATATAATATCCTGCTTCCCTCAATCCCTCATTTTCAGACGCAGCCACCTTTGTGTCTTTGTTAAAGTGCCGGAATCAGGTCCTAAAGTTTAGATGGGAAAGAAGCGGAGACTGAACTGCTGACAGAACCCACTCTCCAAAGCAATAAATAATGCGTGGCCAACGGTGGTACTTGTAGCTTCATGGAAAAAGACAACTGCTGGCAATGTTCATGGCACAGTGATGATGAAAGCCGTTCAGACCCAGGAACACCTCTAGCTTGTGCGGCAGGAACCTGGAGACTCGAAAGGACCAGAATGACGCCAACACAGCAACTGGGCTGGGTGGATCAGAGGCGAAGGTGTCAGACGGTCAGACCAGGCACGCGTTCATTTGTCCTGAGTTGCTACGAAAACAGGAGCAGCTGGTGGACTTCTGGTCGGTACAAGGTTTCCTTCCGTGTTCTCCACCAATGAGCCGAACTCGTCAGAACCACAACATCTAACGGGTTGCGATCCAAAGCTGAACAGCATGAAGTGGTTGACGAAGCCAATCGGGTTGTCCACAGACCGGTCCATATATCTATACCCTACAAGTCCAAGGGCCAAGTTAAACCTGGTCCTTGACCTCATTGAGTACTGGATTTGATGTTTTGCATGACCGGATCCAGTCAGATGAGGTTACATCCATATCCATGTCGATCTATTTTTATCTCTTTCTCTCTTGTCTTTTTATCTATTTGTCTATCTGCCTATCTGTGCAGCTTGGCAGATGTGGCTGCTTAAAGCTCCTGAGGGTGTCACGGACTTGCCTGTCAAGGAGTTGGCCTCTCGGGACATGGCTTCCGAGGGCCAGGAGACCCAGTGGAATGGGAGACGTGGCAGGCGGTTTGGAGAACATCACCGTTTGGTCAAGCCAGTTGCAACGTATCCAATCTAGTCAAAAGCAGTTTTTGAGGCGAAAGGATTTCCTCGGAAGAGGCCAGCGGTCCCTGTTTTAATCAGCCTATTATAGATACACTTCGGCTGTCTCCATTTACTTGGGGTCACTGCTGCACTGCCAATTGAACTCTAGTGTCGCGTTGGCATCAACGACCAGCTGTGCAACCAACGGGCGGGAGACCGGAGAGGCTCCTTTTCATTTTTGCTGTTTCTTTCTTCTGTACATCTGCGGGTACTACAAACCCGGTCAACACTTGAGAAACCTTTGGTACCAGCTGTGCAAATCTCACATTCAAGCGCTTGAGATCTGCTCACACCAATTCGCGCTTGGCAGTTGACGTGCCGCTGCTGAATTCTACACGTGAGCTCGCCGCGCAGAGGGCCGAGTTTCTCCGGCTAGGTCGCGGGTGCAGGGTGTTTATATGATTTTTTTGAAATACACACACACAGACACACATGTTTGTAGGCTCCAAGAAAGGACTCCGAACGCGGGGATCTCATGAAAACACAGCGTTCTTCCAAGGGCTTGCCCTCAGTAAAACAAGCAATTCAACAGCCACTCACAGACCACTCTTGTTCGAAAAAAGGCATCCATTCCAATCTTACAAAAACCCAAACCTTGTGAAGGTGCTTGTTTCAAAAGAAAACACTGGGTACAATGTGACACGTGAAATTCCACCATCGGAAAGGACCACGTGCATTTTTCGAAACCTCCCAGGGACTTGGAAGAGGGCCGAAAAGCCAACAGCAGCAACACGGGAAATTCCCCGGCCCCTCGGCGGGCGGAAGAGGAAGGAGGGAGTCCTGACATCCTGAGGTTGTTGGGGTCAAGTTGAAATTGAATTTTTCATCAGGATTGAATATATTTGAATGCTTGATTGGCAAGGGTTCCTGGTACAGCTTGAAACGGAATGACAGGGTAGACATCCTCCCCTTGATTGCCGTTCAAACGACAGGGCATTTGCACGGCTTTTGGTGATTCATTTTCCAACCCCGAAAAAGAATGTTCGCCTCTTGGCGGTGTTTGGCCCCCGTAAGTGTTGAGAGAGGTGTCGCCGTGCAACAGTGATTGACTTAAGATGTTTGGGAAGAAACAAGATGAGAGGGCAAGGGGTGTGTGTGGTTGAACACGCGAACAAATCGGGTCATTGCAAATTCCTGCAACTGAGACAGTGGCTGGTGAGAGAGTTGTCATCAACTCGACACGTGGCGCCATATGCAGAATGACTGGTGGTACTGCCTTTGTGCGGCAATGGAATGGAAAGAACACCTATTTTTGGAGGATGCTGCCTCCGAGGTCGCTGTTCCACTGGGCAGTTAGCACACAATGTAGGGAAAAAGTAAATCCCAATTGAACCTCGAGTATAATTGGTTATTGCAACGGTGGGGTTCTGCCCGTCCTTTGATTGAATCTCTAAAAGAACTTGCGGCATTCTACTGCCCCCTTTCTCGATTGAGGAAGTGGTTGAGGACTCGAAGCGACCCATTTTCATTTTGGCGTCGTGCGGGCTCCCAGTGACCAGCTGCGGGCTGACGATGAGGGCAGTGGAAACAGCGGTGAATGAGGTGACGATGATGGCGGGTCTGGAGATCGGGATGGAGTGGTGAAAAAGGATGGCCTGGGAAGATGTGTTTCTGCATGGGTATTGGTAAATATCTTCGATAGTCAAACAGTTTGGTGTACAAGGCACAGGCAATAGCACTTGGAGCTTCTCGTGCTTTTTGGAAGCGAGCTGATGAGCTTTACATTTTTATTAGGGGGAGCAATGACTTTTTGGCCTTTTCTCCACCTGGCGAGGCCATAAAGAGGGTGGTGTTCACCTTGCTAGCTGGATTTGCTTTTGCGATTATCCAGGGTGCTAACGACAGATGGCACACACCTTAATTATTCTTTATGTATTGGTTTTGCTGGGCCCGGAGACCTGCTCTTCCCCCAGGGAAACATGGGACTCGATCCTGCTTGAATGGCACCGAACGCCGAACCCCCAACGGGCCAAGCGGAGCGTCGTCGCAGTTGCATGATCTGCGTCTTCTTTGTCCTCATCGTCATTTTCGCCTACTACCCTTTCAGCCGCTCAGCCTGGAAGACATGGAACGAGTTCTGGAACGAGTTCTGGGGAGTCAAACCTGTGTTTTCATCATTTGGTGAAGCCAATGAGACAACTACCTTGAAGTGGAGGATTTCTTCAATGGCCTTTCTTTTGATGTGAAGCCCAAATTCCTGCTCTTCTCCTGCCAATTCCGCCTTTCTTTCTTCGGACCACAGCTTTCTGCCGTGCTTTTCAATCTGGCCAGGTGGTGACCCCTGGCCGTGGTCCGAAGCCTTGCGGAACCAGTCCTGGGGAAATTTCACCTTTGACGGTCTGGAAGCTAAGCGACGGTAGAATGCGACCATTGTTTTTGTTCCTTTTTTGGCAGATGATGAGACTTGTACTTCCAAGAACTTAAACTTTCTGCAGGGTACTGGGTATCAGTTCGAGACACCTGCATGTGGTGTTGTTTACTTATTTCAAGACCCATTTTGATCAGTGCAGTGGCAGGTTTTAGCAGTCATATATGTGATCCATCCTGTTGATTTACTGTCAAGATCCGACCAGCCATAAGGGAACTTCCATCTTCTCAGCTCAGTATTCTCCCCACAACGCCTTGAGCGGTGCAAGAATCGACGGAATAGATGATGGGGTCTTTATTCTTCCTTTCCAAGTTCCGGCTGAGGTTGATTGTAGTCCCGCAGCTTATGACACCATTGGGAATGTCGTTAAATCTGCTGGTTGCCATTGAAGTCAACCCCTATAGACAAAAATCGTAGAATATGTCACCATGTGATGATGACTCATCTACGCTCATGGTAGACACATGAACTTCTTAGACTCAAAACATCACCTTTCCCCCGATGGGCTTCGAACCGGTCGCGGTCCAACCGCCTCCCGCGCTGAGGCGATGAGCCCTGGGAAGCTGGCCAGGGGAGCCGAGCGGCGATGTGTTCGTGGTTGGGTGGAGCGGGGAGGGACGGACTTCGGGTTTTTGGAAGATGGTTCTTGTATCTATTTATCCCTCGGGGACTCCATCCACCCTTCGCTAGGCTACTTCTTGCAGGATGACTGCGGTATCTCTGATGACTCTGTGATGACTTAATGTTCTCTTTGATCCCCCTTCCTACACCCCTGCGGATCGCCCCACATGGAAAGTGCCCCCAGAGCATCCCAGGCTGGCTTGCCAGTATTTGCTGCAACAAAACCTCACCTGAAATCTATCATGAACCTCAAGTAGATCAAGTGGCTAAGCAGTGTTCCTAAACCCAGCAGTTTCTGAATTGGACCAGCACCTACTGAATGGAAAGACCACAGGCATTTCTGCTGACAAACACCAATACAAACACAGACAAACCCCCACACATCATGAAACAACTGAGCCGACTGAGCCTTTCACCTCCAAGGTGGCAAGGAGTTCTTCGGTGCCGGCTCCTGCCTCGCACAGGGTTTGGATCCACTTTTCCTTCGACTCAAAGAAGACCTCCTTGCGCCCCACACCGAAGAAGACCGTGAAAGCAACGTGGTCTTTCAAGGCCATCCCTCCACCTTCGCTGGCCTTTCAGTCCCACAGGTCGTCGCAAAGTCCGTTTTGGGGACAATCCAGTTTCGGGAGGCCACTCGCTTTTTATTTTTCCATTTTTCCAGAAGAAGATGTTCGATTTTAGCTCTGTTCAGGTGGGTTTTGTTCAAACAAGAAAACGGGGGAAGGATTGATGGTCCATTTTCCACTACCCCAGATCTGGCGAGGCGAACTCTTCGCCAGTTGACCCAATCGTCTCGGATGAGCAGCGCCCAAGGTGGGAAGCCCCTCTTGACCTTGGGAAACCCCTCTGCATGGGGAGGCATTGCCAATAGTGTGGAGCCTCAGGGGTGGTCGAACCTTTGGCTTTCTCCCCTCAAATCGCTGAGGGAGGCCGAACACCAACTCTGAGAATCACCAGCAGAAAGGTTTTGCGCTTGTGCCATGCCATGCAAAACAGTCCAGTCCAATTCTCCGTCGATCGATCGATCTATCGATCGATGCCGTGCCCGATCTTTCTTTTCTGGTCGAGGCGGTGAGACGTTGCTGGGCATCTTGCAGAACCACTCCTGGGGTGGATTTGGCTTGCAGAACCGTTGGAATCTCAGGGACCAGACAGAGTTTGGCCACTGGGGAACGACCAACTGTCTAAGATTGAGGTTGCAGCGCCTTATCTTGGGCCTGAGTATATGCATTGCTCAAGGGAACTTGTTTCTTGAGATCTCATCCACCTGAGCTTTTTTTTTGGGGGGGGGCGGACCCCGTTTTCTTACGTTCGGTTGGCACCGTGACCCGAGAATCGCCGTTCGTCCCGTCCACGTCCCGTCTCGGACTCGTCCAAGGCAGCGCCTCCAACGAGTCGAGCAGCGCGTCCAGCGCGTCCAGCGGGTCCAGCGGGTCGAAGAAGCAGCGGAAGCCCGGGGAGCTCTGGGGCAATAGCAGCGAGGCCCGGTGGGCAGTGGGCGGTGGGTGGATGGTGGATGTGGACCTTTTCAGGGCAGTTTTGGGTGGTGGATGGAAAGAAATGACATGAAGCGGCCAAGTCTTCTGGTGTAGCTTGGCTGTGCCGCAGAGGATTTAATCTGTCCTCGTGCAGACACAAGATTTAAGACAAGGGATGTGCCTTGTCGGTGTATATATATATAATAGACAGGACAGTATATATGTATATATATATATATATAGATAAACTTTTGCAAGAATAAGAACTGGTGGGAAGACCTTCACAGTAGCACCCGATGATGCAGGCTTTGCATGGCTTTGCTCTAGACGTGCCGATGTTTCGTTGTGAAAGATGAAGGAAGACACTGGGAGAGTTCGAGAGAAGATTCCTCGAGGAGGTGTACCCCGGCCACTGATGGGGGAGGCCAGCCAAAGAATCAGGTGCTCCGAAGGAGGCCAATCGGCCAGTCCTTGGTGTGGTGTCCATCATCAAAGCTCAGGTTGTGTACAAGCTCATGTCAAAACTTGACTCTGGAAGCTGATGAAAGACATACGGATCTGGTTCCCATATATATTTTCCCTAGTAATCGCCCAGAAAAAAGACAGTTCTCCATTTGGCTTTGGCTGAGTGTTCCAGACCAAATGAATTGCCAGGTCTTTCCACTCTTGGGCAAGGGCCTCTGCATGCGCACGACATGGTCCACGAGCGAGTCGCCCGGATTTAGCGTTTGAGGAGTCGAGACGGGGTAAACGCGGAGCAAGGGCAAATTCCCCGACGTTAGACCAACCCAGAAGTGGAAGATGAGACTACTTGGGAGCTAATTACGGGGAGCCACTCCATAAATCTTGGTTCAGGATTCCAAGTGAGAGACTAGCTGGCTTATGCTTTTCAGCAAACTATGGAAGGCCTCCAACCAAAAATATCTCGAAAGCAGTTGTTCTAAGTTGTTCTACATTCCACAGAGCTCAGCCAAGCAAGGAAAAAGAACGATCAGTATCAAAAAGAGCTCCTTCTGCGCTCTTTGCACCCACCCAAAAAGAATTGAAGCGGTGAGTGTGGATTCCTTTTCTTTGCTGCTGCTGCTGCTGCGGCTGCTGCTGCGGCTGCTGCTGCTGTTGGTGTTGTTGTTGCTGTTGCTGTTGTTGTTTCTATCCTTTTCTGAAATCAAGCTCGCAGGAAGTGGTCGGAGCCCTTTTCTCCCGGTCCTTCTCGCGGAATCACACTCGCATCGCTTTTCGAGCCTCGCATCGCTTAAAGGGCAGCGAATGGCCTTTTTAGCTGAGGCTGATCCCGAAGTACAACACCTGGGTCACCCACCAAGACGTGATGCAGCTCTTTACACCCGGCGATCATGCCAAATGCCGCGTGGTGAAGCGAAGGAACACGTGGACCGCCGACGGGGGTGGGGAATCCACGAATCCACATGGACCTAAACCGCATGGATGTTGGTTCATGGTGGTTCTGTCAAAGTGCAGCAATGGTGACTTCGTTTGGGATTTGAGTGCTACGAATCGGCTGAGGCAAAAACACGGATGAGACAACTGCTGATTTGGTCGGGACCAGACAATCGTCCAATGTGTAGGCCGAGCTGAGTGTGTCTCAAAGTGGGTTGGAAGCACAAGAATCCTTTGCTGCGGACATCTATTGTTCGGAAGGTGTTCAACCAGACGTGGGCTTGCCAGATCTTCGCATGGTGTGCGGTCCAAACCTGAAACTCTGAGACAGAAATTGCCCTCCTGAGCACCACATGGGGTTTGTGGCTTGGTTGACATCGGGCTTGTCGACTTGCACCCCCTGCCATTTGGACCAAGTCTGCGAGGCCATTCAAATGCCACGAATGGCCACGCAATGACAAAGGTTCCAGGAATTCAGGGAACATGGAGCTGGGAGTGTATTTTGATACAGAGATCCCCAACCAATGTGTTTCAGTCTATTTTCCTTCTTCCAGGGGTCTTTGCGAGGAACTTGGAGGCCGGTTCATCATTTTGGTCATTCGCTCCTTATCAATTGAGGTTGCTGTAATCACCTCTTGAAGCGTTGCGAGAGTGACCCGAGTTTGCTTTCCTAGTTTTCCCAAGACTCACTGGTTTCATCACTGAAGATTCGCAGGTCTAAGTTTTCCCAAACTTTTGGGAGTTACACGAAAAAGATTGTTCTGTCGCTTTGGTTTGGGGACCTCCGGAACCCCCATCCTGAGGTGAAGCGGACTGTCAGTCCAAGCCCTGGTGCACCGGCCACGTGGCAGTGAAGCAGCCAGATCCGATGTGATCCCCGCGCGCTCGAACGGTTCGTTCGTGCGTTCCTTCTAGCAGGTCAAATTTCTCCATGCTCCTGATTGATTCTGGAAAGGTTTGTAAGAGTTGCCTTGACACCAAGCTGATTGAAAACAAGTCCTTGGAGAACGAAGGGATGTGGCGTAGCCAGAGCCCAAGCAAAGGCTGCAGCTAGGTCAACCAGGATTTGCCTCAGCGTTCATCCTTGAGAGGCAACCACATACCTACATCCAGGAAAGGGGGCAGAACATCCCCAAATGAACACCTTGGCAAAACGCAACAACTTCTTTTTGGAGCGACACTTCGTCAGAAGCTTTGGCCGAAATCCATGCGAGACAGCAGCAGTGTAGCAGCAGTGTAGCACCACCCCAAGTGAGCTGTGCACGACCTGGTTCGATGGGCTTTCCGTTCTTGGAAGATTGCTCCATTTAACATATGGTCATCCTATATAGATTCCTTGAAACCATCCGGAGGTCCCTCCCCACCAGCAGCTGCCGATGATACTGAAGCATCCGAGGGAGAGACTGAAACACCGCCTTGGTGCACAACACATCGAGGGGGGTCAACATGGGTCAACTGGAGCAGAGTTCAGCCTCCCAGTCATCGCACCTAACGGAAGTTGGTCTAACTCGATATCCATGTCACCTGGTTATTGAGAGGAACTAATCGTTGGATGTCCAGGACCCACGGAGGGGTGACGGCCCGTGACGCGCGACGCGCGGGTGCGCGCGCGAGGCTTTGTGACCTTCGGAGAGGGCGAGAATGCGAAATGTAGTATGGTCTGGGAGGTCGGATGGGGTGGATGGTCGACCGTCGGTCTCGGTTTCCAAAGGGGAGGAGTGGGATGTGGGCTGGATGTGGGCTGGATGTGGGCTGGATGGTATGAAAGTGAGAAATCCAACCCAAGTTTGGACCCTCTCCAGAGCAGATTTCATCCATTGACCTCAAGTCACAGGGGGCTCAGCTGAACTTCAAAGAAGATCTGGTTTGGACAGAAGGGCGGCTCCAAATCAAGAGTTTTGAAGAAAGCCAGACCATTGCAAAGCTGGAGAATTTGCAGACCCCGATTCATAGCTCTTTGGACAGAGATGAATGGGTGCGATTCAGAGAAGCTGTAGATGGTAGATGAATGCAGATGACCTCATGGAGGCCTGTGGTGGGGTTTGGAACATCGTCTTGGTTTCAAGCGCTGGCACGTGTGCCAGCCACGCCCCTCGGTCGTCTCGAGTTTTTTTGTTCCTCTTTGGTTCCCACGCCATCGTCCCGACAGTCACGTCGGGCAGGATGAGGGCGTCCCATCGGCACACGATTGGAACCCTGCCTTCAAGTGCTACTGGAGGTGCGGGCGTTACGGGCGTCGGCAAGGGCGAGAGGGCAAATGTGATTGGTCGGATGGGATCTGGCAACGGATGTAGACCAGCTGTGAGGCGTGAGGCGTGAGGGAGAGAGTCATCTTTCTGAGCCCACTTGCCATCCTCCATCCCTTCCGACAGAACTATCACTGTCACCACCCAGGTGGCACCCACCACTTGTGAAAAACACGAAAGAAAGCTGTTGAGCGCGTTCTATTGTTTTGACACGTTCGACACCTCCACGTGTGGTGAAGACGTGGCAGGAAGAGATGGCACCACAACAGTGTGACTTGGACCGAACAGCGGGCGACCTGCGCACCGATCTGAGCTCTGTGGGGCTGTGAGTGAACACACAAGCGATGCGCACCGCGATGCGTTTGGGGTGAGGAGGATATCGATGGAAGAAACAGGGAGCCCTTCCTGCTTTCAATGGATTGATTTCTCGCAAAGACCATCAATCTTTTGACATGCAAAGACTTTAAGACGAATAGGGAGGTGGTCAGGGACCTTTGCATTTCCAACACCAAGACATGGGGAATTGCGATCACATAGTCAGAACACAATGACAGTCTGCATGGAAGCTGGTTTGACATTTGCGCCCCTCAGGTATAACTTGGTGTTTCCGACCACCATTTGTTTAGGCAATGCAGAGCACCTTGAAACATCAAAGACGTAGATGTAGAAGAACTCCGCCTGTGGGGTGCACTGCCGCGCCGCGCTGCGCCCAGGTGGGTGTGTATGCTCCGCCGAATCGACCTGTGCCGAAGATCATTTGGACTTACTGGGAGGATATGAAGAAGGCACGAAACCGGACGAACGCGGACGTCGCTGGACCCGAAGAGCAAGACCGGACGGCGAAACCGGAGGAGACTCAGCCTTTAAACAGTGGAAATACGACACCTGGCAGCACCGAACAATTGGACGGAGGATGTTCATGGCTAGAAGAAATGGAGTGGTTATTGTTAGAACCGGTTTATAACTCATCCACAACTATTTGTTCTTGCATGTGATCGTTTGGATCCTGCACCCCAGTGTTTGGTTATTCTTATTGGATATGTTTAAGCGACACCGTTGGTAGAAAAGACCACCTCTCAAGTGACGAAAGACCCCCTTGGGCCCAAGGGTTCATCGCTGGGCGACCACCTTGCGATGGAGGTTGCATGAGTTTCTCACATTGGTTGCCACGCACTGGGCGATGAGGTTGCAAACGATCTCTGGAGAAGGTTGGAACGCTCCCATGAGTGAACGGTTTGTCACCCGCCACTCCGGCTTTCATCGGCTTCCTTTCTCTCCCCCCCGCCCTAAGACGTGGCCCCGCGCACCCGACCGACCGTCCGGTCCGACTGTGGTCGTCAGGTCGACTGGGGCCATCGGATTGAAGCGACGACCCAGTCCTTCTTGGATTTGTGCCACCGATCCTGGAGGCGACGGCGAGCACCGAACGCGCCGCAACGGCGAGAGCCCGGCCGAATGGGCAGAGCCCGGGCGGGAGGCGGTGGAGGCGTGGGGGTCCTCTTGGTTTGGAGCGCCTCGCTGGCGGGCGAACCGTTGCGAACCCTGAGCACTGCTCGCTGTGTCCCGCAAGAGCTTCGTGAGGAAGATGAATCCTGATTGGAAGGTGCACATCTTGAACCAGGAGCCACCTGTCGAGCGAACCGAGTGAAGCGAGTGGTGGGGCGAGGTGTGTGGTTTGGGGGCGAGGTGGTAGGAAGCCAAAAGGGGCCAGGCGGCCAGGAGACAGGAGGAGAGATGTTGATTTATCCTCGCCATGCCGCCGTTTGGGGTTCTGCTTTTTGGGTGGGAGATGGTCGATGGTTGTTTCTACACCAACACGGTTGACGTTCCGCTTGGTGTTTCTCTCCGGATGAAGTGGATCCAAAGGGACTTCCCCAAAAAAGCATGTCATCACCAGACACTCGAGCCACGTGATTGCAGGATTGGTGTAGATATATTATGGTGTCTTTTCCTGTTGACAAGGTGCTGAGATGTCCCCCCAAAATTTCCCGCTTCATCCACGCCATCCCATGGGATGGCGGTCGTGTATTGACCGCACAGGGTTTTTCTATCGCCATCAGTGATGGATCGCACAATCCAAAACGATTTGGCATCATCCAAGTCAAGTATATAATGTAGACTCTTGACTCTATTTCAACCCCCACATGAAGAGGTTCTTTCAATCCAAGTGGCGTGGGGCTTAAGGCTTATCTATCAAGAGTTGATCTATATATCTATCTATCTATCCATCCATCCATCCATCCATCCATCCATCCATCCATCCATCCATCCATCCATCCATCCATCCATCCATCCATCCATCCATCCATC